GGCGGCCGCCATCTTGACTGAGGTGTACCGCTGGAGCATAGCTCCGATATCCCTCTGTTCTGGTGCATTACCGGGTGTAGGTTTCTGGTTTCTGCGCCCCATGGATGTATTGGCAGGTGTTGTATGGGTCGACCACAGCTCTGCTGCGTCTCCCGCGAGATCCCCGCTCCAGAGATACTCGAGGTCGCGGTAGGTGGGTTTGTGGTAGGCCCCGTCTTGCGTCTTGTCTTTAGGTACTTCGGGGAGTACTGGAAGGGCATCTGGGGATTCAGTGTTGTGTCCCCAGGCTGTATCTGGTGCTTGCAGGGTCGGATGGTAGCTAGTCACCGGGATAACACTTAAATTGTTTATTTAATTTTCGGAGCTGGGAGCATGTGTTTTTTAAAATATATTGTTCATAATGCAAAAAAACTTTCAGGAATTTTTTACACCCTTATGCACCCTTAAGTTACACCCTTATGTACTGACTCTAAACTAATCGTATTTACATATGTTAGCAGAATTTTCAACAAGTCTAATTATGGTATAAAACCTATGTTCTATGACAGAGGTAGGCAACCTTTTAGTAATACTCTTCTAAAACAAGATCTTTCAGTTGCTTGCGTGCTGATCCTATTTTTGCTAAATTGAGATGTGTATGTTGCCGTATTGTGCTATTTTTGTTTTTTTGTGGGTGTTGCAGTTGCTTTATAACATTGTATTTGTGCGTAACTTGGCTTAGTTGTTGTTTGTAGTAGTGTGTATGATACTTATGAATGTGGGCTTTGTATGGGGGCTGCTTGTATCACTGTGTGTGAGAGGCTGCTTGCGCTTGTATGTGGATTGTCAGTGGTGTTTGTGGGGACTGTGTGTGTTTCAGTGTAGGCTGTTTTCATTATTTATATAAGGAAGAAGCTTTTTCTGCTGCTGTACTCCAGTGCAGATTCCCATTCATAAGTGTTGGGAGGAAGTGATCTGAGATGCGTAAATTGAGGATCGCCCCTCACCACCTGCAATAAACACTCGGGTTGCACTAGCAAGTATCCCTTTGGTACTCCTGGTAGGCAAGATCATGTTTGGCACTGGCAGCCTTGAGTGCCATGAAAAAGCACCTCAAGTGCCATGCAAAGTTGTATCCATCCTTGCAGAACGGTTGTCGTTTATGGGGGGTCCCTGTTGCTTTAGAAATAAACAGATCACCTTGCTTGAACAGTTTATTATCCACCTGTTAACCAACATGTCAATGACAGTTTGAATGTCAGTAAATACATGGTAATAAATGGAGCAGTATTTTTGCATGGTGACTTTGAACCTTGTTTGTAGTCAACAAATGTATCAGGCTGTGACTAGATCTTGATGACATAATACAGATTCAGAACAGAACAGCGCACACATAAAAATACAGTGTTAAATTATATAAGGCTACTTAAAATCACCTCTCAGCAATCAAATATGGGGATTCAGTTCCACCATATGGCCATATTGTGTTAAGTCCACCACTACTTCACAGTATCCCAATATTGGTAGGTCCTACACCAATTCCAACAAGGGAGACAAATTAAATAGTGCCAGTGCTAAATAAGCTAAAGAGTATTTTAATAATATATATAATGCAAATTGATCTCCATATTTGTTTGCTGAGATAGGTTATTTTAAGTAGCCTTTTAACACTGTATTTTTATGTGTGCGCTGTTCCTTAATCTGTATTAAGAATACATTTTGGTCACTACGGCAGCACCATTCTCGTTGACAGCCGCTAGAGGTGTTTGCGTGCTTCTCACTGTGAAAATCACAGTGAGAAGATGCCAGCATCCATAGGAGGCGGAGAGGAGGAGGAGGAGAGCTCCCCGCCCGGCGCTGGAGAAAGGTAAGATTTTAACCCCTTCCTCTCACCAGAGCCCGGCGGGAGCTGGACCCTGAGAGTGGGGGCACCCTCAGGGCACTATAGTGCCAGGAAAACAAGTATGTTTTCCTGGCACTATAGTGGTCCTTTAAGCTCCTTTTTACAAGTGCTAAGTCCTCTCCCCTCTGATCCACTTTTATCTTGTCCCTTTTTACAACATTGTACCCACATTTTCCCCTCCCCTACTGTGGGCAGCAGTCATGCCTACCCTTCCTGGTCAGTCCAGGGGAATCCTTTCTATTTATTTTGCCTCTTTATCTATCTCAATATGATGCAGGTGTCAGCAAATTTATTTTTCAGTTACCAGCGATAAGTTATCGGATCTTGCCCGAATTTCATAGGAAAACATGATTCAAGAAAAACATGATTCAAGAAAAACAAGATTAACTGCGTGTGAATGTAAAGACAAAATATGACTTTTTACTGTATCAATAGGAAAGTATGAGTCAGTATGACAGAGATGATTATCCTTTTTTTCTTGCTAATGACAGCTACTCCACTAATCTACCATCCTTATCTTGAATAATGCTGTCTAACCTCCTGGTTAACCATTTCATGACAAGCAGATAGATCAGGCTGTGCTATACACTCATACACATCGCACACTGTGAGTTTTAATGCTGTGAAGCTCTGTGATATTCCCATTTACATTATATACTATTGCGGAGTTCTACCAAACACATGTAAACTATTTAGATTACGGTGAGTTTCATTGCTGTTGAACTCTTTGATGCACATATAGCAGACTATATACATATACATGCAGTCATGGGGAAAAAAGAACGTACACCCTCTTGGAATTCTATGGTTTTTCGTATCATATACCAAGTCTTAGAATTAGGTAACTACAACCTCAGATGAACAACAACACATGGAACATTACACCGTGTCATGATTTATTTAACAAAAATAAAGCCAAAACAGAGAAGTCATGTGTGAAAAAACTAAGTACACCTTGTGATTCAATAGCTTGTAAAACCACCTTTTAGCAGCAATAAGTTGATGTAATCGTATTCTGTATGACTTTATCAGTCTCTCACATCGCTGTGGAGGAATTTGGGCCCACTCTTCTTCACAACGTTGCTTCAGTTCATTGAGGTTTGCTGGCATGTGTTTCTGCACAGCTCTATTAAGGTCCCGCCACAGCATTTCAATTGGGTCGAGGTCTATACTTTGACTGGACCATTGCAACACCTCGATTCTTATAGTTTTCAGCCATTTTGTTGTTGATTTACTGGTGTGCTCGGCAGGGCCGGCAATAGGCATTGTGCTGCCTGGGTCCATACATGAAATGCTGCCCACTCTCCATCCCCCCCACCTTAAAAAAAACCCAAACAAACACAAAACAAGCTCTCCAAAACACGCTTATATCCATTAATTTATGCAGGGGGTAAATAATGAAGTATCTAAACTTATGTATTGTATGCAGGGTGTGCAATGGATGCAGTGTTTGTGTATTGGATGCAGTGTGTGTAGTGCTAGCAGTATCTGTGTTTGTGTAGTGGATGCAATGTCTGTGTGTGTAGTGGATGCAGTGTGTGTGTGTGTGTGTTTGTATAGTGGATGTAGTATGTGCATTTGTGTAGTGGATGCAGTGTGTGTATTTGTGTAGTGGATGCAGTGTGTCTACGTATGTTTGTAGTGGTGTGTACTGGATGTAGTGTATGAGTGTTTATAGTGGTGTGTACTTGATGTAGTGTATGTGTATTTGTAGTGGTGTGTACTGGATGTAGTGTATGTGTGTTTGTAGTGTTATGTACTGGATGTAGTGTATGTGTGTTTGTAGTATTGTGCACTGGATGTAGTGTATGTGTGTTTATAGTGTTGTGCACTGGATGAAGTGTATGTGTGTTTATAGTGGTGGGTACTGGCTGTAGTGTATATATGTTTATAGTGGTGTGTACTGGATGTAATGTATGTGTGTTTGTAGTGGTGTGTACTGGATGTCGTGTATGTGTGTTTGTAGTGGTGTGCACTGGATGTACCTGTGCCTGTATACAGTCACACACACAGGTACAGGCAGACAGTTACACAAACAGTTACAAGCAGACAGTCAGACATGCTCAGTTACAGGCAGATAGTCACACACACAGTTACAGGCAGACAGTCAAACACACACTCCATTACAAGCAGACAGTCACACACACTCGGTTACAGGCAGGCAGACAATCACACACACTGATAGGAACACACACACTCCATTAGAGGCAGATAGTCACACACACAGCTGCAGTCACATATACAGGCACAGGCACACACAAAGGCACAGCTACAGCGACACACACAGTTACAGTCACACACACAGGAAAACATTCACACACACACAGCCAGGCAGACAGTCTCACACAGGCAGTCACACACACACACACACACAGACAGTCACACACACAGACAGTCACACACACACACCTACCTCTTTCCATTATGGCCGGAACGAGGAGGGGAGGCAGTTGGTTGCCTCACAATAAGCTCCACCACTCAGTAAGTCCCGCCTGTTATGCTACTTGGGTTATTTGGATTGGAACTCAACTGCAGCTTGTAAAACTCCCCAATTATAATAGTGAAGAAGCAGAGAATCTTAAAGTATCAATACTGTAGCTTTAAGAAAGGAGAGAATTGCTGGCTCTTTGAAAATCAAATGAAGTTTTAATAATTGTTAAACTTAATGAATTGCATTTAGGCAAAAATCCAATAAGAATAAGTGAAAGACATTTAACAATACAAAGTTCATCAATAAGTATTTCCTCAGAGATATATTAAATAAGATTCATTAGGTTGCTAGGAACAATCTTCAATAATGATATTTAACAGGTAGTAAAGTATTTGCAAAGCAAGAAACAGTTCCTAGTGATTAAGTATGATGGGAGTTGTCCTCCATATAATTAGTAGCTTGAAGCAGTGAAGATTTAAGCAAGCCGTAAACAGTTCATCAATAAATGAGATAGCAGAGAATAGCTGAAAGGTATACATAAGGTTAAGGTGAGTTATCCTCCAAGAGTTTAAAGTTATAGTCCACTTAGAAACATAGAAACATAGAATGTGACGGCAGATAAGAACCATTCAGCCCACCTAGTCTGCCCAATTTTCTAAATACTTTCATTACTCCCTAGTCTTATCTTATAGTTAGGATAGCCTTATGCCTATCCCACGCATGCTTAAACTCCTTCACTGTGTTAACCTCTACCACTTTAGCTGGAAGGCTATTCCTTGCATCCACTACCCTCTCAGTAAAGTAATACTTCCTGATATTATTTTTAAACCTTTGTCCCTCTAATTTAAGACAATGTCCTCTTGTTGTGGTAGTTTTTCTTCTTTTAAATATAGTCTCCTCCTTTACTGTGTTGATTCCCTTTATATATTTAAATGTTTCTATCATATCCCCCCTGTCTCGTCTTTCCTCCAAGCTATACATGTTAAGATCCTTTAACCTTTCCTGG